AGTTCTGATCCTCAGACTGAGTAATAGAGCCTGTAGTTCTGATCCTCAGCCTGAGTATAGAGCCTGTAGTTCTGATCCTCAGACTGAGTAATAGAGCCTGGAGTTCTGATCCTCAGACTGAGTATACAGCCTGGAGTTCTGCAAAACATCAAGGAAAAGTTGGACTTACACACAACCATAAATAAAAGACAACTAAAGTCTGTCCCAAGCTACACCACTCCTCTTGAAATAACGACTACAAGCAATTAATAGAGAATTTCAGTCTTGTCAGAAAGAGAATGGGAAAAACAACACGGCATCCTATCATATTAGGAAGGCTAAACTGTACTACACTCTTTGAAGAAAAGCATCATATAGATGAAGGGCACCTCACCTCATTACTATCATGTGTTCCTCACCTTACAAGTAAACTGCACAAGAAAAATCCACCCTTCTAAGAGTCACATCAAAAATGTGTTTGCTAAACCACCCAAATATCACGATCTCTAAAAAAAAATTATGTGCTTGACTTATGTATAGCCTTCTTCATAGTATTTTTATAACCTAAGTTTTAATAACTTTATTCTTTTCTGTAATACACTGTAAAGAACAAAAACATGCAGAAGTCAAATCATAAGCATTATCTACATATGCTGCTCAAGCTATGTGCTGACAGGCATTCTCAGTGCAAGTGACCCAGAGGCAGAAAGCACCACACGTGGAGGACTCTGGACAGTTGCCTGGAGTGAAGTCAACATTCTCCTCATTCTTCTGCTCTTGGCCTTTGAGTGCTTCTATGTCTTCCTCAGGCGGATGAATTACTACTCTGGGAATATCGTCCCTGTTGGGTGACACCAGGAGTTCTGGGGCCTGAGGCTGACTCTGTTGGGAACTGCTGGAGGCCAGGCGACTTAAGCCAGGGCTGGAAGGAGGACTGCTCTGGGGGGTGGGCACTGGGGTAGTACACCTCGAGCCTGCAGGGGTTCCAGCTCTCGAAGAAGGGAGAAGATGACTGAGAAGAAGAGATAAAGGCGATTCTCCTCTCAAGGAAAGGTTTGAGGCAGACAGACCTGTTCGCAAAGAGTGGCGGGAGGCTGACAGGCCTTCGCCTGAGATAAAACAAGTAAGTAAAAAATGTTCATTGCATTAGGTAAACAGAGAATACAAAACTCAACTCAAACCACAAACCACAAGTTTCAAAGTCCCCTGTGAGGGTTAGCAGGTCAGTCAGATTCTTATTTGTTATAGTGTTACTGAAAAGTTATTCAACTGTAATCAGTTCCATGACTCAACATGTATTTAAAAAATATGTAAATGGGAACATCTATAGATAATTATTTCTCAAGATTCTACATTAGCATTACCTAATAAGTAACTTAAAAATGGTATTAAATGTTTGTAACAGGGGCTGGTCAATGCCCTTAAGTACAGTTTAGAAGTACAAAACAAATTATAAAAATTATTTTTCAAGAGAATTAATAGCCAGGTATGCTTGATGAATCTCTTAGTTCAAGGCTAGCCTGGTCTATAAAGCAAGTTTCAGGCTAGCCAAGATTACACAGTAAGGCCCTGTCTCAAAAAAAAAAAAAAAGAATATGAGAATTATAACATCAAGTTTTAAATCAATATTCCAAAGAACATGTTTTGCCTCTACCATAGTATAGCCAGTTCATCAATGACATATAATCGCTATATTAGCTGGCTAAAAACAAAGCATTTTAACATTCTACCAAGAGCAATATGAGAGTAAATCTAGAATATTTCAAAGCACAGGAATACTTATACTTGAAATACCTGATACTACTAGTAAGTGTGCCTTAAAAGAGAAACACAGTTTCTCCTGAAGCTTTTTAAAAACTACATGGTAGTTGTATGAGAAATGTAACAATCTCTTGTGACCTTAAGAAATCAAAGCTACATGATCAGAAGATTCAAATACAACAAAAATAAAGAATGTGATAAACCCATTATTTGTATGGTAACTAAAATAAATTAATAGAAACTGTTAATACATAAACAACAATCACTTAGCTTTCAAAGAGCTACATGCAATAAAGTTTATTACATTATAATTATAATGTAACAAAATTAACGTGATAAAAATTACATTCAAAAGAAAATAGCCATTGTCTCGTGATGAAAATAAATTAAACTACAAAAAGAATAAAAGTTTAATAGAGTCCTTGAGGTAAATAAATTTACTTCACCACAGTGGAGAATATACAATGAATAAAAAATAAAAGCAGGAACTATGCCATGTACAACTTGTTTCTAAATTAAACTTAGATCCCTTAAATGTACCACATCATAATTTTAAACAGATTAAAAGACTCCTTAATGATCAAATAAAATATCTTAGACTGAGCTACAAGCAATGGCTGCTGTCAACTTCTGTTACGTTAAGGCCTTACACATATGGCTGACGAGTTAGACAACCATTTAAGAGCCATTCAGGGACAGAAGCAGAGCAGAAAGCTACTGTGTCCCATAATCCATTTGTCCCAACTTGCAATCCTCTTAGGCTTCTTGTAATGACACAATTAGAGGCAGTAATGACCCTCATAAGTCTCTGCATATGGCCTTTTTAGGTTCTGTTATCACAGTTCTGTTTTAATAGTCAAGTGAGAACCATACTGGTGTGTTCCTGCTTTGGAAAGAAGATAATAAGGAAAAGGTAGATGGATGTTCCATGTGCATTAGTTTTAAGAAACTGACACAGCTAACTGGCTGTTTAAGGTTGAAGAGGAAGGGAGAAATGGTTCAGTAGTTAAGAGACCTGCTGCTCTTCCACAAGAACTGGATTTGCTTCTGGCACCCCATGGTGACTCACAACCATCCTTAACTCCAGTTCCAGGGGACCCAATGCCCTCTTCTGACCTCCTCAGGTACCAGGCACTCATATGGTGCGCACACATATATGCAAGCAAAACATATGCACACATAATACAAAAGTAAAATTTGAAAAACAAAAACACTGTCTCCTCAAGTCCTACATAATGTGCCACCATCCTCTGAAAGGAAGGGTAGAAATGGGTCTGGGCACCTGGGTTTGCCTTTCTCAATGGATTGAAAGACATCAACTTGTCTGCCATGCATGTAAGATAGCCTTATCATGAAACCTTGCAGAAAGTATATAAATATCTGAAACAAGCTCCCAAAACACTTGTTTATGATCAGTACTTTTAGCATATTTAGGAGGGAAAAAAAAATCAGGAAAAAATCTGATATAGTCATAAAATTCAAACTTAGTACTTAGAATTAAAAACATCGAAGTCACAGATCATAATTTATGCCTCTTAAATAATTTACACAAGATACCCCAAATCAAAACAAAAAGCAGATGACTTAGGGTAAGGGATAGTGACTGTACTTATAGATTGCTTAAGGAAAATTTATGACATTTTAGTAACAGTGAATGCTTTTTCTTCATTCAAATGATTTCCATCTCACACTGGTCTTGTTGGTACAGGCCTATAATTCTAGCACTTGGGAAGTTAAGGAAAAAAAACCCAAGTTCAAGGCCAGCAAAGGCTACACAGGTCAGCCTGTGATAGATAATGAGACTGTCTCAAAGAAACAAAAACAAGCAAACGAAAAGAAACACTTTAGAAATGATAACTTTGAATAAATGAAAAAGGTAACTGGAAATACCACCTTTCTTGCAACATATATTAATTACAACATACTGAAATGCCATTAGAGAAATGTTAGCAAAAACTGGACACCACAACTTATCTCACCATTCCTTTCAAGCAAGTGAGGGTCAGAATGTTTCTTGCCTATATCTGCAAAAGATCGAACCAAGGGAATCCGACTGGTGAATCTTTTCTCATTTTGATGATGATGTCTCTTCAAGAGAGCTTCTCTCACATTCTCCCTTATGGAGTCGTCTAACTGGCCAGAAGCGATCATGTTGTCTAACACCATATCTATTCAATGAAAAAAAATTAGAGTTATTTTTACTATACAAACACTATGTAAGCATATGCATAAAGGTAAATATGAACATTATCCATCCAACAAAAAATAACTAGAGAGACCCTTATTTTACTAAGTAGTATATTTTAAAGAGGTTGCTTTCCTATATAGACATGATAAATTTAGTCAATAAATGAAAGAGAAGTAGCTAATTCTCTTTAACAAAATATTCAATGGCAAGGGCTTCCAAAGACTTCCTCCAACTGCTCTGCCATGCTAAGAGCAGAGCAGTCAAGAAATGGTAGCTCTTACTCTGCCAGAGGTACAGAACCAATGAAGCAGCTTAAAAATCCCAGTCAAAGTAACAAAAGAAACAAAGAAAACAAAGTAAACAAAGAAACAAAAGGAATGGAAGAATGAAAGGACTAATGCCAGTGCCGTTCTGTACACTACTGTGCATATTTTCAATGTACAAAAAAAATGTACAAGGTTTCAAAAATACATGTACTTATTTTACAAATCTATGTCTATTGTTGACATGCACCATGTGCCTGCAGGAGCCTGTAGAAATTAGAAAAAGGCATCAGATCCCTAGGAACTGGAGTTACAGACAGTTGTGAGCTGTCATGTGAGTACTGGAAATCAAGCTCAAGTTCTCTGCAAGAACAACAAATGACCTTAACCACTGAGCCATCTCTCCAGCCCATGTATAGATTTTTAAGCAATAGCACTAAGAAGAGTCTGGTGGGGTGGCTTTCTTTGTTGTTGCTTTTTTCTTTCTGATAGGGACAGAGCCCTTACACATGCCAAACAAATACTCTACCACTGAATTAAATCCCCGGCCCTGTTAGAGATCATTTTAAGTCAAATCTTCAAAACTATGATAAAATTACCCTAAATGAAAAATGGAAAAACCAACCTAGCAGGTAATTCTTAACACTAGCATAATCACAGTTCATCACATGCTTAACTATACTCTCTCAAGGCACCACATGCTACGTTCTGGTGGATGGCAGCACCAACTGAACTCCGTGGGCCGTAACAAGATGGAAGCATGAGGGGGTGTGTTAGGGGGACTGAGAAGCCATGACTGGGAAGATAGGGTGTAGAAATTATCAAGATAGACTACAGGTATGAAACTGTCTAAGAATAAGTAACAAATTCTTTTTAAAAAGGAAAAGCTCTATTTTGTGACAACTACAAAATGACAGTGGGACTCAACTGCCCATACTAAATATCCCTAACTCTAACTTAGTTTTTCAGTCATTCATATAAGAATGGGACTTGACTTAAAGATCTGTACACATAGTCAAATCTAACAATCAGGTAAATTTCAAATTATTTATAGTCCAAGAATTACAGTTACGTTTATGGCTTTCTTAACAAATCAAAATACTTGACGGGTTTTTCTGGGGAGCAATCTTCAGTGATCACACAGTATTACGCTCATCTAAAACACACATGACTTTGGTGTTGAGCAACTATAGACCAAAGTCGTCAAATAATCACAACTCTCTCTTTCTACTTCTCCACTCTCCCTCCTTATAGTCCTTCAAGCCTGTCTTTTGTTTGTTTGTTTGTTTCTACTGCTATACCTAACACCAGCCTTACTAATTTATGCAACTCCAAGGAAATAACTGGAGGTCTCGTTTCTATCACCATCCCAGTTCAGTCACCCTGTATTTTTTTTAGCAGGATAATGTTCTGAAAGCACATGTCAGGATCATTCCTTTCCCAACTTAATCACCAAAACTGCCCCAATGCTCATCATATAAAATTGGTGTTTCAGCCCAATAATTCAAGGGTGGCCATCATCTGTCCCTTTTTTGGGCAAGGGGACGAATGAGTCTACGGCCTCATACATGTTAGCTCAGCACTGTACACACTGAGCTATACTCTCTGCCCTCTATCTTTATTCAAGAAACGTATGCCTGCTTGTAGAGCTAGCTGACTTTCCCAAGTCCCACTGTCTACACTTTACTGGAACTTCTTCTTGCCCATACTCCTCCATAAACACTGCCTTTTCTCTTATATACCTGCTCCTTATGCCCAGGTACTCTGATTCAAGAGCTGTATATTTAATGTTCTCACTGGACCTTCACCATGAAAGACTTTCCTTTGAACTCCAGAGGGCAGACCACATATGTGCTGATGACAGTGGTCAGACTTCTAATTTAACCTGTTAGTCTCTACACAAACCTACATTGCCCCTGCAAAGAGTAGACGTTTCATATACAGTTGTTAAATGAGTATCTTAAAATCACACCTTATTCTCTATTATCTTAAACATAAAAAAGTCAGTTTACGATATAACCTGCTATTTCATCGAGAGTACTTGCTCTCATATCCAGCATGACTGTTCCATTTAGGATGCAACTCCTCAATTCAAAGAGACTGTGCAAGGAGAGAGTTGCCACATAGGGTTTACTCCATCGGTCACCACCGTCTTCAACATCCTCTTCAAATTTCAACCACCTAAATGAATAATATAGTAAAATTAAAAAACAATGGACATTCCATTTGTTTATTTTAATGCCATAAACATAAACTTAAACTTGATTTTTAAAAAGAAACAAGAAATCACTACTGGAACAAAATATACCTCAAATACATTTCCACAAAATAGGCCAATAGTTTACACTGTTGGCAGTCATCAAAACTTGACACCTACATCACATGATAAGCTTGGAGTTTAACAATAAGTAAATAGGTCATCATAGTTTGTTCCACTGTATGATAAATGAAATTTATATTTAAAATAATAATAATAATAAGCCCACAAAACTAAAACGGCAGCATTTCACAATGTAAGATTTTTAACTTCAAATTTGTTCAAAGGCATCTGAATACCAACCATACAAACCATTTTATAACATTAAATGAACGCATTCAAGGAAATAAATTGAGAGCAGAGAACAAAAGAAAATTTCCAGGCATTAACAAGGAAATCCTATAATTTAAAGCACCAGAAAGGGTGACTCATTCTTACAGTCCCAGCACAAAGTAGACAGAAACAGGAGGACTGCTGCAAGTTTGTGACCAGCCTGGGCTACATCCTAAATTCCAGACCAGCCAGGGTTATAAAACAAGACCCTACCCTCAATAAATAAATAAGTAAACAAATCAACTGTAACTTGTAATTTCAATTCATAAAATCGAGAATGACCTGGCAGTCTCCTTCCACTCATACTCTTCTCCATCTCTGTAACAGAGCTCATCCATCTCTGTGAAGAGGTCATGGGGAATATGCTCCTCATCATCATCTTCAGTCCCAAGGATGAACTGTACCCTCTGCGACGGTGTGTCTTAACAAAACAACAGTACATACATTTAAGGGTAAGCTTTGAAACTGAAACACTTCTGTTATGTAAAATAGATTTTGGTATGGTGTGGTGTAGTGGCTCACAAGTACAATTCTAGTCCTCAGAGGACTGAGGCAAGAGGATCACTTCAAGTTCTAGGCCAGCTTGGTCTATACAGTAAGGTCCAGACAAGCCAGGATTGTACAAATCTTACTTCCAAAATCCAAAATATACATAGCATATATATTCAAGTCATATATGTGTAGATGGAAGTATTAGATAAAATATTTAAGATAACTAAGTTCATGAATTAAGAGAAAGGGAAGCCTTCAAGTTGTAGAAACAGATGTGAAGCTTCAAGTTGTCAATATGTGCAGGCCAGCTTTCCTGCTGTTCTCGAGAAATACAACTGTCAGCTGGGGTTCATGTCAGAATTACTGCATGAGACATACTAACAGAATAGACACTGCCTCTTTTAGTAGAAAACCTTAAGGCTTTTAATTAAAAACAAAAGCCATCTTGTATTATATGAGAAGTGAGTTCTCACTAAAACTGACACCCATGTAAGCAATCCTCCAGGCCCCTATGGAAGCAATGAACAGAATATTTGAAGAGGACAATTAGAGATGTGCAAAGAAATGGCAAACACAAGGAAATGACACAGAACGAGAAATGAAGAAAACAGAAAATTAAGTGATATGGAGACCAAAGGAGGAAGGCCCAACAGGAACCCTCCAGAAAGACGAAAGTGTAAGAACTGGGAGAGTTGATATACAAAATATGTGAAGTTTCCACAGGTGTTGTGCTGAATGAATGCCTAGAGGCAAAGCAATATTACTGTGCTCAACTGCTCCTGCACTCAGGACTTGCATGATTTTTAGTGGATTTATTACTAAAGAACTTCTTTTAGTGTTATTCACTGCTACTAGTGAGGAAAGGTTGATTTTTCTACTGTGAGTGAGTCCCTTAGTCCCACAGTGTGCAGACTGCTCAGGTTTACTGCCTCATAGGCCAACATCTGCACAGACTTCTTCCTTCATCGCAATGCATGCATGTCATGTGTGCTTGCTGCCCCCCACCCCCACCCCCACACACTGGTTAGGTGCTGCAGGACAATGCTGTATAAAGGTAATAAGATAGGGTACTTCAACCTTCATCTGAGTCACTAAAGGCTCTCCAGACATGTGGCCAAGGACAGTTAGGAATGTGCTCCCCCGCCAAAAAAAAAAAAAAAACCTGTAAACTTACTTAAAACACTGAGATTACTTGTTTTTAAACACAACTGTGTAGTTCTTAAACATGAGGTTTGTAGATCACAATGTGTGTTGCAAAGGTAAAACACGGGCACAGGGACTGGGGAAAGCTGAGCCATACGAGTACTTGCTCTGCAAGTGTGGACCTCAGATCAAATTCTGAGTGCCCACATAAAAAGCCAGGCAGTCATGCATGCCTGTAACCCCAGCACTGGGAAAGAGACGGGACAGTCCTGAGAGCTGAGAGAACCTGCCTTGGAGCAACAAAGCAAAGAGAGATGAAAACATGAAGTCACAGAGATCTATTTGCCTCTGTCTCCCAGGACTGGGAATAAAAAGTATACATTACCATGTCCAGTGGGTTTTTTTTTTAATTATGTATATATATGTGCATGTGGGGTTTGTATGCATGTATATAGTGCCTGCAGAGGCCAGAAAAAGTTGTCGGATCCCTTGTAGCTGGATTTACAGGTAGTGCAGGCAGTCGTGAGCTGACTGAGATGGGTGCTTGTCGGGGCCCAGTGTTGGGGTCCAGCCCCGACCTATTGAAGAGTCCCTTGAAGGGGGAAGTGAGGAACTGAGAAATGCTAGATAGGAAATATAGAAGTAGATGAAGAAAAAAGACATAGAGTCACAGGATAACTTCAGGAGGGCCCTGGGTCAATACCCAATAGCCTCGAGTTTATTTCTAATGGGCTTTTTTTTTTTATACACTAGCAAGGGGAGAGGCAAAAGACCTCCCTCCCCTTTTCAAGATCAAAGTACTAACACGTGTAGATCTCTCAAAACACCTGGTAACCAGGCCCTATAGCAAAGCATCTTGTGATTAGGCCTTTAAATATAAGACACCTCATAACCAAGCCTTTGCACCCTACTATGCAGCCTTGGAGAGCAACATAAACTCTGACTCTCTGATCTTGAGTCAACTACAAGTTGGTGCTGGGAACTGAATGAATGTCCTCTGAAAGAGCAGCAAGCTCTCTTCCCTGAGCCACCCCTCCATTTCTAGTTTTGTCCCTTTCTTTGAGCTTATTATGTTTTACATTTTCCTTTAGTCTCTTAAGTTAGAACATGGTATCACTGATTCCTATTCCTTCTTTCTAACATACAAGCATCCAAGAGCCTAAGTCTCTAAGCATTGCATTAGGTGCACCTGACAATTTAATTTTTAAGAATAAAAGTACTATATGACCCAGAATACCACTCCTGGGCATATACCCAAAGGACTCTCTACCCTGCTAGAGAGACGTTTGCTATCTTTGTTCATTGTTGACCTAGTCACAATAATTAGGAAATGGTAATGAACCTAGATGTCCATCAACAGATGAATGGGCAAAGAAAATATGATACATGTATGTGACAAAATATTACTCAGCTATGAAAAAATTATGAAATTTTCAGTAAAGGATGGAACTGGAAAATATCATATTGAGCAAGGTCACCCAGGTCCAGAAAAACAAATACCACATATTCTCTGTTATGTGTGAAGGCCACTGTGGTAGAGGGGAGGGAAGGTAGAGTAAGACAGAGGGGATAGCATAACATAGACGAAACGGGAGTTGAGAGAAAGACTACTGGAGGTGGGAAGGTTCAAGTAGGGAGTCAGGTTGGGTATGAGGAAACCACAAGGTTAGGGAAGGGTCAACTACAATGAACAGAGTATGAAAAAGCTATATGGAAACCCATGATCTTGCAACCCAAGTAAAAAATACAGTAAGAGGATCCAAGAGAATGCACGGCTACACAAGAACAGGGGACAAACGGCTTGGATGGAGGCAGTGGGATGGGCGAAACGGCAGGATAGGGAGTGAGCTAACCAAAACTAAGGATGCATGAGTAAATCTTAAGAAAACACCTAGTTTATAAGCTAATTAAAATACACACGTATTTTTAATAAGCTTCAACAGATGTTCCTTGCATGAGAGGACAATGCTGTTCCCAGAAGACATGAGTTATAAAATGAAAATCTCAGCACCAGGCATACGTTATCTCCCTCCAAGTTATTGGTCAGGAAGCTCCAGGGGTACCCAAACAACATAGGCTACTGCAACTGCTCTTGGCTGCCCACCATAACTAGAACATAGGACCTTATCGCTGAAGACACCACAACCTTTGGTTATGGGACATAGAGAAGTCAGTTTTGAACTGACCTGGAAACTTTCTCTGCTGGCTAGCTTACCCATACTGGACTCTGAATGCTGTACACTGACCTACCAGGGAAGACAGACTCACTAGTGCAACAGTGGCATGACTAACGTGGAGTTTGTAGGCATGAGTGAATGTGTGTTATTGATATCAGCACAGCCATGTCAATGACCCCAATGCCTCAGCCCCACGCAAGTGGCAAAGCCTCCCCAAGGTAAGGCTCAGAGCAATGGCAAAACCTTCACTGGGTCTGAGTACAAATGTTGACAGTATATACAGAAAATATCCAATGTAGCTTTCTGCCCTCTACAGATGTTCTGATCAAAACCTGCTCCCCTACAAGAGACTGCAGCTACTCAGTTTAGCTAAACGTGCCTTCCTGTTCCATTGTACACAATAACCTTGCTTTCTTATTCAGCTCTGTGCATTAATCCTGCCTCCCTATCCACCTGTATAGAATAAACACACTGGGCTTCTCGGATGCTGCAGCTTCTCCATCAGAGAGCCAAGTCCACCTGAGCTCAGCTTTTCTGTGCCCATGCATTGGTCTTTTCTTCATTTCCTTATCACCCTAATCAGGTTCACAATTGATCTTCTCTAAATCCAGTATTCATCTGCCCTATTTGTATAGAATAGATTCCATTATATAGACTGTATTTTATGGAATCAATGTACTGATTTTCTGAGTGACTATGTGCAGATGGATGCAGCAGGACAAAAACATGAAGTTGTCAAGAGGACAACTTGCAGGTGTCTATAGCAGTACTTTTTCATCGGGACAGTCAACTCACAATAATGGCACGGAGACTTAGTATTAATCACGAAACTTTGGCCTTAGCTTAAGCTTGTTCTCAATTAGCACTTATAACTTAAATTAAACCATTTATATTAGTCTACATTCTGCCATGTGGCATTACCTCATCTCCATAATGCTCATCCTGGTTCCTCCGAGTCTGGCTGGTGAGTCCGTCTTACTTCTTCCCAGAGTTCTTTCACTGCCTGGAAGTCCCGCCTATACCTCCTGCCTAGCTATTGACCGTTCAGCTTTTAATTAACACCGGTCACAGCAATATATCTTCACACATTGCGCAAACATCCCACAAGAGATGTCAGTTCTCTCCCTCTATCATGTGGGTTCTGGCAATCAAACTCAAGTTATCAGGTTTGGTGCCAACCATCTTCACACACCTGAGCCATCTTGCCAACCCCTCACTCAATCATTGCTAGCAACATGACCTCTCTCCAGTATATAACTGTTTAATATTATTAGGTCACCATTTCCTCTTAGTAAAAGCTCAAGAAATTCCTATCAATTAACCTCTCTGAGCTAAAGCTTAGGCAACTTTCCTATAAAATGAAAATAATAGTATCTATCTTTTAAAACTACTGAAAGAGCTGGGAATGTAGCTTAGTGGCAGCATGCTTGCCTGGCATGTGTCAAGCATTAGTGGGTTCAATTCCTAGAAACAAACAAACAAACAAACAAACAAACAAACAAAAGGAGTTGGGGGGAGAGACACCTGAGATTAAAGAGCACATATCAGACTTTGGTGTTGGCATACAATATTTAACAGGCTGTCAGTATTGGCTTCATGATCATATGTACAGCAGGTTTCCATCCATACTTCTTCAAACTTCAGTATAGCACACAAGAACCTAAAGTTCAAGACAGGTGTAGTTGGGACACAGCTGTAATCCCAGACCCCAGGAGGACTAGCATGAGCTCAAAGACAGCCTGACTTGTAGTGAGCCCCAGGCCAGCCTGGGCTTCAGAGAAAACCCTACAGTTCATGCAGCTTTCTCAGAAAGCACTCACTAAGATACCGGTGATGTCGGCACAAGTCATCTAAGTCTTCCTCGGGATATACTGAATCTCAGGACCACCTAATTATCTATCTTTATACAGCAGAAAATATATAGTTTTCTCTATCCTCTGCCCATATATAAATACCTTTTGTTTTCTGAATTCCATTGGCACTCTGCTTTTAAATAAAATAAAAACCTGACCTTCTAAAGCCAGATGTGGTGATGCATGCCTTTAATCCCAGTTCTGGGGAGGCAGAGACAGGAAAATTTCTATAAATTCAAGGTCACCTTGATCTACATAGATAATGAGTTCCAGAACAGTAGGGACTACATAGAGAGACCCTGTCTCAAAAAAACAAAACAAAATAAAACAAAAACAAAGAAGGATGAAAGAAAGGGAGGGAGGGAAAAAGGAGGGGGAGGGGGGAGAAGGAGAAGAGGAGAAGGAAAAGGAGAAGAGGGAGGAAAGAAACTCTTGTCTTTTTAAACAGGCAATACTGACAAACCAGACCACTATTTCTTCCTTAGGTAACCAGGTAATCAAGGGATTAAGATCTTCTAACCAAAAATATAGCTTAAAAAGAAACAAGAAATCCAGGTATGGTGACAGACACCTGTAATCTCAGCTCTGGGAGCCAGAAGGAGGAAGACAGCTGCAAGTTCAAAGCCATCCTGGTCTACATAGTAAGTTCCAGGCGAATAGGGCCACACAGTGAGACCCTATCTCAAAAGAAGTGTCAAAGTAAAAAGTGCAGTGCTCTCCAGAAGCTTTAGTACTGCAGATGTTTGCTTCATGTACTGTCAGGTAGTGAAGTATATAAACAACACTAATTTGAAAGCTAAATGATAAGAACCAGTGTTTACAATTCAGTCTTAATAAAAAGAAAACAAGGGTCCCACTACCACCACGACCATTTATATCAATGAAGCCTTAAGCTACTAGCCAATACTCTTCTTATAAAGAAAAATATCCTATGGGACAAGGAAATAGTTCAGTGGTAGTATGCTTACCTAACATGCACGAGGCCCTGGATTTAATTCTCCAGCAGGCAGAAAGAAGGAATGGAAGAACAGAAGGGAACGAAAGGGACAGGAAGAGATGAGATGAAGGGAAGAGAAGAAGCAAAGAGATGAGAAAGAAAAATCTTGGTGGCACACACACCAAGTGTGCCTGCATTCAGAAGACTAATAAATTTGAGGCCAGCTGGGCTGCTCAGAGATGCCTTACCTCAAAAGACAAAACAAAAAAATGTCCTACTTTTATTGGCTCCTCCCAATGTGCCCAAATTACTGTAGATATATAGTTAAGAAAGGAATGAAATGAAAGATATGATACTTCTTAGAAAAAAAAGTTTAAGCCATGAGTGGAGGGCAACTTCTCCTACCATAAGAAGGAGACTCCCGTCCATCTTCTTTATCCGAGTCTTTGTCTTTCTTTCTCCGGTGGTGATGTTTGTGCCCTCGATGCTTGTGACGCCGACGACCCTCTTTACTAAATGGTACATGAACACCAACATATACAGCTCGGTGGCCTATTAAAAGTTTTAAAAGTGTATTACTGGTTTTACCAAAGTACAAGTATGAAATTCAAGAAAGCACGTCACACTTTAGAAACAAAGAACTGCATGTAAGCTCATGAAGTCAACAATGGCGGTCTTCAATGATATATTTTAAAGTAGTATGTCACAGTAGAGCTTTGCACTACTAACCAATAACTAAACTAAACCGAAAATTAACTAGCCACATAGATTACTGGTGTAAGCATCAGTTTGTCATCTAAGGTCAATCAAGAAAAGCTAGATATATCATACAATACAGAGATAAATTTATTCTACCTTAAAATAGAGTGGTGACATATATACCTATAGTCCCAGAACTCAGGAAGTTAAGGCAAGAAGATTTAGATTTCATGGTAAACCTGGGCTTTAAAGAGATAAGAAGCAGGCAAATAAAAAAAATATATATATTTATAAAAAATATAAACAAAAAATATGTCAAGTGTTTATGTATACACACATAAACACACATATACACATCTATTCTACCTATATTCATGGCCAATTCAAGTTAACAGATATTCTTAATATATACCTTAAGGGTTATAAAGTATCTCATATATCATAATATACTAACATTTAAGGAAACGTTTATCATTTTTTCATTGTTTCAAAGACTTTTTTAATTTGAATCAGAACAAAATTCAAACAAAGAATTTTAAGACATCAGTTAAGGTTGGAAAGATGGTTCAGTGGTCAGTAGTACTTGTTTCTCTTCCAGAATTTCCAGGTTTATTCCCAGTACCTACAAGGCAGCTCACAACCATCTGTAACTCCAGTTCCAGGGGATTCAAAACCTCTTCTGACTTCTGTAGACACCAGTATGCACGTGATGCATACACATACATAAAGGCAAAACACATAAAGAACTAAATACATCTTCAAAATATATACAGAGTAGCAGACAAAATTTTATTAACACCATTACTGTGTGCTTTTAGAGTAAGAAAAGCTACTATTGGGAAAATATTATCTTTTCTATTCTAATCCCCCAAAGAAGCACAAAAGGTAAGTCTCTATTTTGATCACTCAATAAAACAGACTAGTGACACACAGCTAACAACACTGTGTCCACTATAAGACAACAACCGCTTTCTTCAAATAGTTTAAACAGTTCCCTATTGAAGCTGTATTGTTTTGTTGAATACAAAAAGATGTGACTACAAACTCAAAAAACAGGCAATTATGGGGGAAAAAAAAAACCTCTTGACATAGAGTTGCTTTTTGCCTTTATATATAAAATAAAGAAATAATATGCTGGAATCTTGGGCTAATAATACTGTTTTCATAAAAAAATTTCCTAAGATGGCCAGGAAATAAATACTTCAAGAAACTCTTTATCCTTAGATAAGATTTTACATTCTCATTTTAGCTTTTGAGACAGGGTCTTGCTAGATACCACTACACCCAGAATCCTCCTGTCTTGGCCTGCAAATGGGAACTACAGGAATGTACCACTACCCTGGCCTCGTAGGTGAGATTTAAAAGTGCACTTGACCCTTATCAACTACATTTGATCCTCATCATGTCTATTCCCTACTTGGAAATCTGCTGGCTCAGTAAAATTTTGTTTTAATTTCCAAACTAATACTGCTGTCATGTGTCAGCTGTCAAAATATTAGTGTCAATCAAATAAATGTAGCCTGGTGGCACAGCCCATCATCCCAGCACTTGGGAGGCTGAAGCTGGACTGTAAATTCAAGGATGGCCTGGTATATTAGCTATTTTTCTCACGTTACCTTTCTGGACGTTGAGATCAAACCAGGAGAATTTATTTCACTTAGTTTGAGGGTATATATAAGTCCATCAAATTCAGTAACACATGACAAGCAGACACACCAGGCTCTTGCTCATATCTTGATAGATCAGGAAGCAAAGACAGGGGAATTCAAAAACTCTGCTAGTTAGTGTTCTCCTTCTTCCATTCCACCCCAGTGTCTTTCTTCTTCTTCCCTTTCTTCCAGGCTGGGATCCCAGGCCATGAGACAGTCTCACTCACATTAGAGATAGAGAGATAGGGTTTCTGTCCTCAGTTTAAACTCTCTAGAAATACCCTCACAGACATGCTCCCAAGCGTGGAGCCTCCGTCATTCTAAATCTACTCAAGTTGACAATGAAGGCTAACCATCAGACCTGGGCTATATAGTGAGTTCCTGAGCAGACTGAGCTACACAGCAAGGCCTTGTCTTAAAAAAAAAAAAAAAAAAAAAGTAACTGAACAACTTAAAAAAAAAAAATAACCAGACTTCTAAAAACACACTGAACTTATTTGTTAAAATATCTCCTAGTACCTAAGCACTCTGCCTAGCATACTAAGAACTTGATACATCTCTACAGAAATTAACTCAATTATCAGAAAAACTATACTAGAAATTACAGATTTAAAATTTAATTACTCAACATTTCTTCAGGGATGACAGGTATGTTTTGGAACTAAAACTGAGTTTTTAGTCAACAGTGAACTGAATACATTTAAATGGCTTACTGTACTTATGTGAATTATATCTCACTAAAGTAAAACCTATAGGTAAACCCAGTGATTTTACAATTTTATTTTAGTGAAATTGAAACTGAAGAGTCAATTCCCATCACTATGTACTAAGATTACAATCCCATGGGCCCAGCTGGCACTTGGCACACCAAGTCAATATACCAAGATAAAAATAAATTCTATGAAGCTGGGCAGTGGTGGTGCATGTCTTTAATCCCAGCACTTGGGAGGCAGAGCCAGATGGATCTCTGTGAGTTCGAGGCCAGCCTGGGCTACAAAGTGAGTTCCAGGAAAGGCACAAAGCTATACAGAGAAACCCTGTCTCGAAAAAAAAAAAAAAAAAAAAAAAAAAAAAAAAAAAAAAAAAAATAAATTCTATGAGTTAATAGCAGAAAGGCTAGAAAAAGTAAGACTATACTATACTAAAACTCAAGGATCAGAACACAGTCTGTTTCTTCTGCTTTTGCCTTTGGTATCCTCTGTTATAATACATTACACATGGTATTCCTAGACTTTTAAGTCATTTTTAGTCAGGCGTCTTAGCTCATGCAAACATAAGCCTAGCACTCGGGAGGAAGAGGCAGAAAATTCAGGATAAAATGCAGAAGACTCCATCTTTTTTTGTTGTTTGTTTTTTGTTTTTTTGAGACAGGATTTCTGTGTAACTTTGCACCTTTCCTGGAACTCACTCTGTAGCCCAGGCTGGCCTCGAACTCACAGACATCCGCCTGCCTCTGCCTCCCAAGTGCTGGGGTTAAAGGTGTCTACCACTACCGCCTGGCCTCCATCTCCTTTTTAACAGCAACAGATTAAAAGCCTGATATAGGACTGGCAAATTTTTTTTAATTTTATAATTAATTTAATTTTATGTATCAGCCACGGATTCCCATCTCCTCCCTCCTCCTGCCACCCCCACCTCCTTGCCCTCCCCCCAATCCATCCCCCATTCCCACTACCTCCAAGGCAAGGACTCTCCTGGGGATTCAGCTCAGCCTGGTAGGTTCAGTTGAGGCAGGTCCAGTCCCCGCCTCCCTTCACCTAGGCTGAGCAAAGTGTCCCAGCATAGGGCCTAGGTTCTAGAAAGCCAGTTCATGCACTAAGGACAGGTCCCGGTCCTACTGCCTGAGGGCTTCCTAAATAGTTCAAGCTGATCAACTGTCTCACTTATCCAGAGGGCCTGATCCAGTTCCATGGAGGCTCCTCAGCCATTGGTTCACAGTTCATGTGTTTGGCTATTTGTCCCTGTGCTTTTTCCAATCATGGTCTCAATATCTCTTGCTCATATAATCCCTCCTCTCTCTTGCTGATTGGAATCCTGGAGCTCCACCTGGGGCCTGGCCGTGGATCTCTGCATCTGCTTCCATCAGGACTGGCAAATTTCAACATAAAAAGTCCCTAAAGTGTCTATGAAAACTTTGCCATGAACACCAGTTTAGCCAAATGTTCCACATTAACTCACCAATAACACATGGTCTCATATCCACAGACATGTTGGGTATTACTGCAAACTGAGGGCCACTGTACAAAGCACAAACCCACTCTTCTCCTCCTCCACTGTCACTGTCATGAAAACTAGGTCAGAATGAGAAACTCATACAGACTACAGGAGACTAGGGAGACATCACTAAAGGTGCTACAGATTTTACACTGTGCCAACTGGGTCCTTGGAACAGAAAAGGCCGTTAGTAGGAAACCAGTGAATTCCAAATAAAAGCTGTAGCTTAGGGAACTGTAAGTAAACCATTTTCTAGTTCTCCAGTGTTAACTTCTTTATTTTCACAAATGGTGTGATTTCAAAATTAATGTTCTTAACATTAGATGAACCTGTGTAAGGTGCACACAGAAATGTGCTGTACTGTGTATGCTGACATTCTATAACTCCAAAACAAAAGGAAGAAAAGGAACTATTTAATACAATTTCTTCCCATTTAGGGAGGACAAAGAGCTCATTTGTTGCACAATTCTAAGTGGTGGTTACTGTAGCACTAATGAAATGAGCAACTGATGACAACTAGTGACACTGTGGCTTAAACTCCAGTACTCCGGCCAGTCTACCCAAAGTGTGGGAAAGGAGCACAGTTTGTAATCATTACCTTTCATTATCCCAAGTAATGACAACTATCAATGAGGTAGGAAAGGCTTTATGAAATCTATCTATGCCAATAATTCAAGAAAGAATAAATGATCAGGAGATAGTCTGACCATAGATAAGAATATCTTCTACACTATTATTCATTGCACTACACTAGAAAAGCATTCAGTCTTCTAAACAAACACTGACCCCACAGCAATGTTTCCAGAAGCAGTAAGTAAAACTTAAGAAAACACAGACAGCATCAGTTGCTCATTTCCCTGCTAAGCATAAGAAATTATTTTAAATGAACTTACTTTCTAGTTCTTCTTTTTCAAACTTGGTGTTCACGGTTGAGCTAGTTTTGCCAAGATCTACAATGGCTTCCTCATCAGGACCCTAGAAACAAGACATTCTGCTTTACTATAAACCAATGCACATATTATTTCAAAGAACCAAAAGCAGATACCCTCTCACAAAATAATGTTCTGAGAACAACTGCATCTTTTTAAAAGTGTTTATAAGAACTTTTTAAATCCACAGTTATGCAAGGCATTGGTTGTGCACACCTTTAAGCCCAGCACTGGGGAGGCAGAGCCAGTTGGATTCTGTGAGTTTGAGGCCAGCCTGGTCTACAGAGCGAGTTCCAGAGCAGGCACCAAAACTACATAGAGAAACTCTGTCTCAAAAAAAACAAAAAAAAAAAAAAAAAAGTTAAGAATGAAATCAGCGGAGCCAGGCGGTGGTGGCGCACGCCTTTAATCCCAGCACTCAGGAGGCAGAGGCAGGTGGATCTCTGTGAGTTCAAGGCCAGCCTGGGCTACCAAGTGAGCTCCAGGAAAGGCGCAAAGCTACGTAGAGAAACCCTGTCTCGAAAAAAACAAAAACAAAAACAAAAACAAAAAAAAAAAAGAATGAAATCAGCAAAGGGCTGTAAACTATTTTTTTAAAAAAATACTACATTTAGCCCCAATAAAACACACCCAAGGCCAAAGGCGGGGTGGGGGTGGGGGTTTGGGGTATTAATCGATCTTATGTGAAAGGAATGCTGTCTTAAGTGTCAGAGAGGAATGCTTGTTTTGACATTTGCTCCAAAATCATAAAGGAAAACAACCACTGCCATGGATTACAGATAAACACAACACTGTCCAAAATAAGTGGTGAGGTCAATGTGTAGTACCATTTTTACTTGTAAGTTAACAAACAGCAAAAATTAGAATGGTTCATTTCCCTACAAAGCCAAAATTGTAACCTCTAAGGAAATTCTGGCTTATGATGTAAAGACTCAACCTTAATCAAATCTAAGTTTCAAGCTGCTCCCTTCCCCAGCTCTACAAAAATATATTCTGTAAACACTTGTATTACAAAATAGTTTGTACCATTTTAAAAGAAGCTTGTAGCTTATACTTCCTTTCTCAAGTCCTAACAACTTTAAAAGAACATTGTGATCACCATCATCTACACAGTATAAATGTATTTGCTCTGTCAACACATGCAAACAGGTAACACACCCATCTCTCAAAGCTGAGTTCTGGGTTTGAGCAGATCCACATTTAACTCTCTGGACCCTGCATAGGCTGTTGTGCCAGGAAAGGTTTGCACAACCTTTAGCAGTGCTGGCCTGCGGTGGAAGGCTTTTCCATATACTCACAATAAATTAACAAGCTGTTTATTAGTTTTTCCCAAATTCTCACTATCTAAACTCAGAAACAGGGTTGGTCTGCTTGAATTTTCAAATAAATTTCTTGCTATCCCAACTCACTAGCTAATCCACCAAATTCAGCACCAGGCATAGCATTCCTAGGAAATAAAAGTTTTCTGCTATCCAGGCTTACTTTCTAAAGCTAGACACCCAAAGAAAACCTCAAATAAATGTCCGAATTGGTAGTGTTCAAGTCAATTCAAAGAAGTTAAATGACTTGCTATAAGAGGCTGTATGAACCATAAGACAATTCCACACAATAAAATGAGAAAAAAAGACACCAGTTAGTCAGACTTCCTTAGTAATAGGGCCAAAGTCAGAAACAAAGCCAGGCCCTTAAACAGCTTAAGGGTGAGAAACTACAAAACCCAATAAACATCTCTTGTCACTAAATGAAACTTCCAGTTCTGGGAATGGGTAAAAATCTAACTGAGTTTTTGGCCAAAGGGCACCCAAGGACACCCTCACACAACCAAGCCTATTGCCAAGGTTTCTGGTTGCTCCCCACAAACTGATGATAAGGCCCCATTATTGAAGACAGCGCTTACACACCTTAGTGAACATGGAGAAGTTGAGCTGGTGCCTAACTACTTCATCCCTACTACTAGTGTTCATGATACTGGAAGGTACTCTGCATGCTGCCGGAGGAGAAAGGGAAACACCAACCCAGCTATAAACCCTTTCATCGATAATGGTGAACTGCCTGCAAGAAAATTCATGCAACTGAGGTACAAAGCTTCTAGGAGTAATCAACTAGTATCTGATTGGATTTAAGGCCCACTACATGAGATGGAATCCATACAAGACACTGCTTGGATAGCCAAGAACCTGAGAGGACAAGGATCTAGGGGAAATCCAATTACTACTGTTCTACTAAAGAAATGTAACCAATAAAATGACTCCTAATGATACTCTGCTATTCTCATAGATCAGTGTCTTGTTCAGCCATCATTGTTCTTGCCGCACATGGGAATAAATGCAGAGACCCAAAGCTGCAGAGTAAGAGAACTCAGAACATTCAGTCCTAAAAGGGTTGTCTCCCCTCAGGGCTCAGGGAACACTGCAGAAGAGGAGGCAGAAAGTGGGTAAGAGCCAGAAGGTATGGAGGACACCATGATAACAAAGCCTTCTAAACACAGCAGGATTGAGCATTATGAGACAAAGATCTTCCAAAAACACCATTGAGTTTGTGTTGTGTTACTGGTGGGCATGGGGTCTGTCCTTAATAGTGGTTTGTATACCCAGTGAGAATCCATTGAAGAAAATTTATTTTTCCTTTGTGAGAAGTTATCAACTGAAGATACTGGGTTAGGTATGGGACTTGTGTAAACTCTCCCCTCTCAGTGCTGGGACTCTATCTGGCTTAGACCCACGAAGGCCCTGCACATGCTGCCAGTCTGTGAATTCACATATGCACCAATCCTCCAACTGACAAGCTCTCGCCTAAACCTAAGAGGCCAAGGCTGTGTCCTAATAGGCAACATACTGTCCACACTAAAGGGATTAACTGCTCCCATCCAAGGCTTCATTTAGCCTGTACAAGTGCCAGGATAAGAAACAATACAACTAATTCCTGGCCTCAAACAAACAACACAGCTCTACTTACGTGTTCAGATGCATCAACAATGCTAATCAGCTTGCACTAAAAATACCGTAAGTCCACTATCTACCATTGACTTTATATTTTCATTACACTTACTTTACGACTATATTGAGTTAAAAATATACATACTCTATCATCTTAACTATTTGTCAAAGAAAAATACTTCCACATGTGCAAAAATCCTCAGAGAAGGTGGGTGGACACCTTTACTAATCTACTCAACCTATTCCTGGGATACTCTACAATTCCCTTCCATTCTCAATGTAGTAGGTTCTTTGTTTTGTTTTGTTTTCTTAGACAAGGTCTCACTGTGTAACCCTGGTTGGCCCGGAACTCTCTATATAGACTAGGGTGATCTTGACTTCAAAAAGACCTGCCTGCCTCTGCCTCCTGTACCACACAAGGCCTATAACTTCTACTTATAAAGAAAAAAGAAAAGAAATAAAAACAGGTCACTTGTATTTCTTAATGTAGCTCTGTAGGAGAATTCTTACCTAACAAGCACAGATACACAGGCTCTGGGTTTGATGCACACACACACACATACACATACACACACACACACACACACACACACACACACACACACACAGTGGGTGAGTGGGGGGTGGGGCAAAAATCTAAAAACTGGAAGCAAGTTTTGAGGTAGCAGAGACCTCTCATACCAACTAACACTTGAGAGGTAGAAAGAGGAGACTCTTGAAAGGACTTTAGGGTATGAATTGAGTTCAAGACTCCCCTGGGTACAAAAAAAAAATAAAGAAAGAGAGGGAGGATAGGAGGGAAGAGGGAAGGAGGGAGGGAAGAAAGGAAAGCAAGCAAGCTGCAAGTAGATCTATCTAAATACATAGTTAGGAAAGATCTCAAGGATATATTATTTGCTGAAAAAGTAATTTACAGAGTTATAAATAAATCACATACACATTAAAAATCAATTAAACCAGTTTTGTTCCCAAACGTCTGTTTCCATGTGTGTTTATTTCTATTTAGTAATAAGTAAAGAGAAAGATTTGATGGAATCTGCACCAAACTATTAACTGCTCAGAAAAATGTGTCTGAAGGAAAACTAAGTTCAAGTATCATACAGTTGCTATTACAGTTCTCAAATGTAACTAACATAACAAAATACAACTAATTTTATTAAGTTTTTGACAGTTCTGGGGACTGAACCTAAGTTCTTGCATATGTCAGGCAAATGGCACAAAGTTATATCCCTAACCCTAAAGTTCGGGGGGGGGGGGGCTGTTTAACTTTGTAACCCAAACTAGCTTTGAACCAATGACAATCCTAGAATTAAAGATATGAGCCACCAAAACTGGGTTAAAGTTAAAATATTTTAAATATAAAAATATTACAGACATAGGGCTAGGTATGTGTATGTGTGATTAGCTGGCATGAACACAGTTCTGGCTTTCAGTCCCCAGCACTTGGAAGGTAGAAGCAGGAGAATCACAAGTTCAACAGTTATCTAAGGATGCATAGGGAGTTCAAGGTCAGCCTGGGCGACATGGGACCCTGTCTTTTAAAACACAAAAACAAAACAAGCCAACAAAAACTTAGAGCACTAACTGACCAAAGGAGCACTTTAGGAAACAAATATACTTCTCCCTTTCCTAGTCTTTCAACTGTGAAACATGAGTAGTAAAGACAGCATCTGTTGTAACTGCCTGTGTTGTGTAGGCTGTAAAAATTGGCCATCTGGCTGTACGGGAAGAAATACAACAAAAGTACAAAGGGTACATGTGACCACAGACTGAAACCGCCAGAACAAAGGCACTGGGTATTTGAAGGGGGTAAAAACTTGGTCTAAATGCATGGCTTTTAGGTGTGATTGTTTTAGAATAATGCTTTATGCCATTTCAATGCACAGGAAATTAATACTCCATGCAAAATGTGCGTTCTTTTTAAATGTTGACATGCAAATAAATCCATGTGCATATTAAATGTTTGTAATGTGCTCACTAAGAACACACTAATGAACAGAGCCCAGCAGTCCTAGTGGCATTTCATTTCTTGTATAACATTTTAAATATTCACATTTCAATGTCAATTATTTTTAAATTTTCTCATAGAAAAGACTCTTTCAACATTTTT